TTGTAAAAAAAGGACAAAAAAAGGAACTGAGTATAATTTTTTTTTCAGCTCCCTACCACATGCTTACTTCTTCTCTGCTTGCAAACATAATGCAATAATATAAGCAGCATATTTTCATAGTTCACAGAATCATAGAAAAATAAGGCTAGTAAGAAACTCAAGAGATCACCCAGCCTAGAGGGCTAGGGACAGAAGTTACATATAAACCAATATAAGTGATCAGAAACTGGTTCAGATATGTAACATGACAGAAGTCCCGGGCACATAAAAACACTTTCAAAATGGCTGAAACAGGCTTAGAATAAACCTGGATGGATGTAAGACTCAACTGATTTAGGTTAAATTGGTTTATTGAACTTCTGTCCCAGATCCCCTGCAGATTTAAGTTAACTCACAAACCCCCAGCATTCCAGGATGTTTTGCACCTACCTAGCAACCTCCCCCTCCCCTGCCCTTGAAGGGTGAGCAGGCTAGGTTTGGATCAAGCTGTCTACTCCAGGCAAGCAGGGAGGTGTGCTCTAGCACCCACCACCTTCTGGCCTGAGCCATGGCATCATGACATGTGGGTACTTTTCTGGAATCAAAATGAATGTCTGTTCACTTGCTTATCAGTTGAATCTATGCAGTTTAGACTAACCTGCAAAGATTGAATCAATTCAGCTTTGGGCTTTTTGACTGTCTGTACTTAGCCCAGCTGCCCCACCTTGGAGTGCTGGGGGCCGCACATGTCAGGGGTCCCTTGCCACACTGCTAATGCCCCTCCCCTGTTAAGTCACACTGCCAGTGGACCCCCACTGCCCTCCTGCCTTTGTACCACTCTGTGCAGGTGTCTTCCCTGCCATCACTGTGTGGGGGCACTGGGACTTGTGGCCACATTGCCCCACCCCCAGAGGTAAGAACAAGAAGTTGGAGGGAGGGGGACACCCTGGGGGCAGCAGCCTCTGAAGCAGTGTGGGGAATGGTGCCAAGTTAGAAGCTTGGGGGTTTCAAATTAACCCCTTGCAGTCTGAGTTAGACAGCCCTGATCTAATCGAATACACTTCTCAAAACAGGATCATGCCTGTCCTAGACAAATATGTCTAACCTGTACTTAAAAACTTCTAATTACGTGTATTTCATAAATTCTTTGGGCAATCAAACTCTACTCTTACAGCTAGAAAGATTTTACTAATGTTTAAACTACATCTCTGGTGTTGCAACTTAAGTCCATTATTTTATTCTGTCCAGCAAAATGTAATAAATCGCAACAACAGGGGACAGTCTACTTACAACAAGTTAGGCTGGTCAAGAAAACAAATTACATGTTTAATAAAGAGCAAGGAATTTAACTGAAAAATGATGTTTAATTTGAATAGCAACTCTGCTGAAATCTCTCCGAAAAATAATCAAGATACAGAAGACAGGAAATGAAAATAAGAGATGCTAATTAATAATGAAAAATATATAATACAATCCTCCTTTTACTTAGATTTTTCAAACTCATTCACAAATTGCCCCACAATTGCTAATTAAATGTTGTTTATCATTAGTCACATTTTTCAGCTCTGAAAACTAAGAAAGAGAAACTAAGTGATCCGACAGCTGCAAAAGCCAGGAACAGAAAACAAGCCTCCCACAAAAATCATATACATTTTTCATATTTATATCACTACTTTCAAACAATTTACTTTACCTTGGAATGCAGGGTACAAGACAATGTAAGAGTGATTGGGGAGGGGGGAAGAGCAAGTAAGCAAACATATACCCAAAGCAACAGTTTTCACCTCTGACGGTAAAGAAGGTGTTCCAGTGCTAGCTCTGAGTAAGAGATCTGGGCTTCTCCAGCATGGCAAATGTCACTGATGCAAGTCAGCAAAGTCCTCATTTGCAGCTGAAATAGCTATCTATATTCATTAAAGATGTCTTATTTAAGATTTATCAAAAACAATAAGTGAAATCTGAGTACACTACACAAATGTACACTTGGAGCAGTTTCAAAGAGAGAGTTGCTGCTCAGGAGCACACAGCAGCTGTTACCAGTTACGCATGCCCAAGTTGGAAGCAATACAAATGTAGCAAAAAACTGCTCCAACTTTAAGCAAGGGAAAGGGAAGCTGTTTCAACCAGGGTCAGTTTGGGGCACCAGCCTCCCCTACCCATGCCCTGAGAGCACAGAGGCAATGAAGAATAGAACATTAGGAGGCAGAATCTAAACCAAGGGTGGACAATCATTTCAGCTGGAGAACCACTTAACAAGTTTTGGTGAGCTGTTGAGGACAGCACACAAAGTCTTTCACAAGATATAATTTTAACAAACCATGGATTAAAAAAACAAATCATATACTGAAAATCAAATATCTACTATAACATACTTTAATTTTATTTCAAAAAATAATTTTTGTCCTGATTTTTTTAAGTAGTGTATAGCTCAGAATAAAGTCTTACTCTTGTATACTGGGGGAGAGGGGTGTATTGTGGGGGGGAAGAGGGGGATTTGGGGAGGGGAATGTGTGGGGGGTGTGCATGTGGTTGTAGTCGTGTGTTGGGGGTAGGTATGTGGGACATGGGTGCACATGTAGGGGGTGTGCAAGAGCATATGAGGAGCTGCCTGCATGCTAGGTTCCAGGAGCTGGCCAAGAGGGGTGTGGGACAAGCAAGAGGCATGTACAGCAGAGCTTGTCTGGGCAGAGTAGGTATAAGGTGAAGTCTAACCCCAACCCCATCCAGCCCAAGGCTGCCTCTGTGGTCCTCCCATGGGCCAAGTCCCTCCCGTTCACATTTGTGGCAGACCACAACACACTCCCACCTGCCAGATAGCACCACCCCACCCCTGGCCAGTGTGCACAGCTTCCCACAGTGTGCACAGGTATTGCTTGGCTTCTCCGCCTCCTGCTGCACCACTCCAGGCAGCAGCTATTGTGAGGAAGCTGTGGGGATGTGTGCCAGGCAACATGTCCAGCCAGGCAGGGAATACACTGCAGCCAGGCAGCTTTTGCCCCAGCACACAGGGCACCAGCTCCAGGCCACCTTCCATCCACTCAGCAGGTGGCTGCTTATTATGTGTGCAGCCACGTGGGTGGGAAGTGACTGAGCACTGGGGCCAGAGCCCTGGGTGCTGTGGCAACAGCTGCCCAACTGCAACTTCCCCCTGCCTGGCTGGGTATGTGGTGCCTGGCATGCATTCCCATGGGTCCCATATTATCTACTGCCTAGAGTGGCAGAGCAGGGATAGGAGAAGGAAGAAGAGTAGAGGCTGGAGGTGGAGGGAACCAAGCAGTACCTGAGTGGCTGCAGCAGCAGCCCCACCAGAAAGCTGTGTAAACTGGCCAGGGCTGGGGCGGTGCTGTCTGGCAAGCACAGGGAGGGTGCAGGTGGGCACACAGTATCAGCTACCCTAGATGGGAGCTGGTAGGGCTCAACCCCATGAAGACCACTGCAGGGAAATACACAAGCCAGATATAATCAATTGGTGGGCACTCACACACAGACAGGATACAATCGGTTGGCAGGCCAGATTCAGCCTGTGGGCCTATTTTGCCCACCCCAATCTAAACCATGCTGAAGCACATACACAGTTGTGCTAAGTATTACATACACAGGTTCAACTTACATAAATTATAAATATTATAACTATTTTATACATTTATTAAGCATAATCCAAATGTAAGGAATTATACTTTTATCCCTGCATCCAAAGTTCTTAAAGGTCCACTGCACTAATTAGGAAAAAACAATATCATTCATTGTATAAGTCAATAATACTTTATAATAATGAAATCAGAAATGTCCATTTGATCATTTTTGTAGAGTAACAAATATCAAGACTTCCAGAACAAAGTATCTCACTTCTTTCCTTAGCAGCACTCTGAAGGACAACAAATTCAAAACAATTTGTAAAAAATTGTTTTCCTAACTACTTATTGTAGTAGTTTTGGGGTAATGCTGTAACTTTGATGGTCTTGGAAAAATACAAAACATAAAGGTTTTTGTGGGTGATATCTTTTATCTAGCTGGGAGAGATATAAACAAGCATTTCTGTATGGTACTATTTACCTGTTATCTCCCTATTAGAGATAACTCATAATGTCTCTTATACATTTTTTTATTTACACAAAGAGTTTTGCACAGGTTTTTTTCTGCTAATTAGTGGGGAGGGGTTGTTTGTAATAGAGACCAGAAGGATACTTGGTGCCTGAAAGCTTGTCTAGGCCCCTCCCAACTACAGAATCATAGAAAATTAGGGTTGGAAGGGACCTCAGAAGGTCATCTAGTCTGACCCACTGCTCAAAGCAGGACCATCTCCAACTAGATCATTCCAGCCAGGGTTTTATCGAGCTGGGCCTTAAGAACCTCCAAGGATGGAGATTCCACCACCTCCCTGGGTAATCTCTTCCAGTGCTTCACCAAATTATACAGTTCGTCCAATAAACTTATCACTCACAAAAGTCCTTGCCTCTCATATTTGCTCACTAGGAGATCGGCTGTACAAAATATGCCCAAGAGACCGTCCTGGATATATAGGGCCTTTAAATCTCCACAAAAGAGAAAGTAGGAAGGGTGCACTCTTTCCTTATCTTCTCAGAACAGCCACCACCCTGGGGTAAAGATGGTTCAATTCTCTATGATAAGCCACTGAGACCACCAACACACAAATCAGGAATGCTCTATGGTAACAAGTCTACTGAATTGGGCGATAAGAATTGCCCATTTAGAGTCCACATCAGTCAAGTTGTAAAATCTTTTAAATTTTGTACTGCCATTCCTTTAGGTACATTATTGCTACTAGCATTATTATTTTATTATTTTATGTTCTTCTTCAGAGGTCAGAATAATTTGAGACAAATGAGAAAGTATGCCACAATTAAAGAAAATCATATTCAATATCATATTAATATATCACAGGTTGTTATTCTGTTCTATAACTTAGATCTCTCATGTCAAATTCTATGAATATCCCATTTTACATTAAGCAAAATGCTCATCTGTGTATAAATCATATCCAAAAAAAAGTTATCCTTTACCGTATTTCTTATTGGGATTTTTTTTGGTTCTGGTGGCACATCCTGTGGAACAAATTTTACTGGTTCTTTAATCTGTCTCCTTGATCTCTTGGTCCCATCTGGTAAGGTTTCCATGGCAATATCTGCTTCCATGTCACTGCTACCTGCCTGGTCACACTCAGAGCACTGCCTAAAAAAGAAAAATTTTATACAGAAATCACAAACCACAGAACAAAAACAACTTTAAAATAAAAAATTTAAACAAGCTCACCAAAATTTCAAGCAGTTGATCTGTAAGTAGCTGGTCAGAACAAGCCTATTTTAAAATTTCTCTTAGTAGTATTTAAGTGAAATCTAGATCTATTGATCACTGTTAGAAGAAAAAAAAAAGAGACTCTCCTTCCTATTTCACTATTTTTGTATTACTGTATCCCCCTTTTTAAAGGTATTCATGGAGCTCAAATGTGTTCATTGTAACTGCTACAACTTCTAAATCTTGCCAATGAAGCACTGTGCTGAATTTGCTTTCTTGAGCAAATTACTGATAGAGATTCCTAAAAAAAAGTTGCCTCTGAGAAATCAACGGATCATTTTAAAGATGGTAGACTACCTAATTTAAAAGGAAACAAATATCAATAATTCAACCAATTAAACTTAAATACTACTTTTAAAATTGTCCTGCCACCCTTTAAGTTCTGGAAGACATTAAAAGACAACCAAGGATGTGCAGATTGTGAAGTAAATGTTAACAATGATTTTTTTTACAGTTAAATAAGAAAACTCTGTTGTGCCTCTGAAAACTTACACGTTCATCAGAACTTCTCTGATACATCTCATTAACAATCTTCACAAAAGAAAATTAGCAAAATGAGACGCCATCTAAGTATATTCTCATTTGCAGGAAATAACAATCACCATAGCAAGATGTTTGCTCATAAACTCTAAAATGTTAAAGAAATTTGAGTTTGGAGCCTGTTAATTACAGGCAGTATATTAACTTTTAGACATTATTTTAATATTACACTAAATGTTAAGTGTTAATGCATTGCACTATAAATTGTCAAACAAATTCCAACCCCCAGCACTTATTTTATGTTTATAAAATAGCCTGAAATAGCATGCCAAATATTTAACAACAGAAGTGAACTTTAAGTTAACAGACATATATTGATAATCATTTAAACAAGGTAGTGTAATTTACTGCAGCAAAGCAAAAAAATATAGTATGCGTGGTTTTAGTCATTTATATCTACATCCTTATGAACTCCAGAGACAAAAAGGTATGCCAATGCGCTGTCTATAAACTTCTTTCAAACACAATTCTAGATACTGAATCGTGTAATCCAAATTTAAAATTTTACGTTTCTATGGGATTATCTTAACAATGTGTTTCAAAAATAATATTAATTTTTGTTAAATTACTCCAAATGATCTTTTTTAGCACAAGGAAAGAAAATATTAATAACGCTAAGCACTAAAAGAAATAGATAGGACAGAAATAGCTGTCCTGTTAGAATTTCCAATGTGAACAAGCCATTACTAAGTATTGTAAGTGACTGAAAAAATTCGACGCTATCACTTGTGTTTTGAGAAACAGATTGGTGAACAGTAAAACATTTATTTCAATTCAAATAACAGTTCTTTTAAGTCAACCAAGCTGCATTACAAAGAGTCCCTTAGGGATGTCTGTTGTAGCCCTGTTGGTCTAAAGACATAGGCAGACACGGTTCTTTGGGTAAATGTGATATCTTCTATTACATCAACTAAATAGTTAGAAAATTGTTCTTTGTAAGCTTTCAAGCACAAACATCCTTCTTCAGGCACTGGAGAGAATCTGTTGTTGGTTTGGGTGCTCTCCTGGGTAGATGAGAAGCTAATACACAAAAATACAGGTCCGTGAAGATGCAAATGTAAGGTAGACAATAAGTGTGTGGGGATGGGAAGGGGAGGAAAGGAGGATGTTGACTTGGTGATAGAATGCAGCTAGTAAACTGTGGAGAGGTTACCTGGGGTTCTCAGATGGCAGGCAGGTTACAGTGTGCTATAAATTCAATGTCTATTTTTGCCATGAATGTATCATAAATTCAGTGTCTATGATATTTTGTATCCAGTAGATCTATGAAGTTCATAAACTCATCTTTTAAAGGTGTTTTGTAAATTCCCTTTGAGGATTAGAACAGAGACTGGAGAGACAGAGTAGTCGTTTTATGAAAAGTGTACACTCCCAGATTATTGGATATTTTTGTCTTCGACAGAGTTTTAGTATGCATTCATTCTGGTATGTGGCTGCTTGGTTTCCTTTACATATTTTCCATCACGGCATTTAGTGCACTGGATGAGATATATTACATTTCTGGAGATGCAGGTGTAAGATCCAGGAATAGTGAAGGTTCTTGTTGTGAGGGGTAGTTATTGTGGGAGTGGTGGAGATGTGTTGACAGGTTTTAAATTTCTTATCCCGGCACGGTCTGGATCCATTTGGTGTGGTTTGTGCCATCGGAAGTTTGCTTCTGGTGAGGAGGTTAGCAAGGTTCAGTGCTTATTAAAGGCTAGGATGGGTGGTTCTGGAAAGATCTCTTTGAGAATTGGGTCTCTTTCTAGTATGGGTTGCAATTTTTGAGGATTTTCCATATAGGTTCCAGGGAAGGATTGTATGCTATAACTAACTGTGTGCAATTCATGGGGATTTTCTTTTTGTACTGCAGCAATTCTTCATGTGGTATCTGGGTGGCTCTCTCAGAAGTGCGATCTCTCTCTCTGGAGATGTGTCCTTTTTGGGTAAGAGTCCTTTTGAGATTTGCAACGTGGCAATGGCAGGCATTCTCCTTAGTGCAAATTTAGTGGTATCGGAGGGGTTGGCTGCAAATTACAGCTTTCTTGATGTGTTTAGCATAATTGCTGGTTCTATGCAGATATGGACGTTGGTCTGTGGGTTTCTTGTATATGGTGGGTTGTATTTTACCACTCTGGGTATTGATCACAGTGTCTAAAAAAGAAATGTTCGTGCTGGAGTATGTCTGATGGGAGGTGATGATTACTGAATTTGTGATGGAAATCAATCAGTCAGAGGTTTTCAGTCCAAACAATGAAGATGTCACCAATATATGTTAGGTATAGCATGGGTTTGATGGTGCAGTTCTTGAGGAATTCTTCTTCCAGGTGGGCCATAAAAAGTTTGGCATATTGTGGGGTCATTCTGGTGTCCGCAGCTGTGTCCATGGTCTGGAGGAAGTGTTGGTTATTAAAATTGAAGTCAGTGTGCGTAAGGATGAAACGTATAGTTCAGTAATCTCTTGAAGTCTGTCCTCTGAGTTGTAATCTTGCTCTGATAGATATATAAGGCAGGCTTGGATGCCATCCTGGTATGGGATGTTGGTATAAACTCTTACATCCATGGTGGATAAGAAGGTTTTGCTGGGAAGGTGGTCTAGAAGGTGGTCTATGTTTTTTTTCCATAGAAAGTCTGTTGTGTCTTGGACAAAATTCAGTCTCTGGGTGACAAGAGGTTTTAGGATGCATTTGATAAAACTTGATATTTCCTGTTAGGGTTCCATGGTTGGATATTATAGGTCTGCCTGGGTTCCCTTATTTGTGGATTTTAGGAAGCATTATCTGCAGGTTTTATTACTGTTTTGTGCTTGGATCTTAGAGAGTCTATGGCCCTTTTCTCAGAGGGAGAGGTTACGGTGGTGTTTGTTTTTGATTATTTCATTGTTCATTCTTTCCCTGAAGCAGTCTACATAGTGGTTGAGATTTGGATTTCATCCACTGTGAGGTGCCCAATCTGAGTTCTTTTGGCATTAATCTTTTTCTCAATATTGTCATAGGATGAAGCACTATTGGAAGTGGATTCATTTTGGTTGTGAAAATATTCCTTGAAACGGAGGCTCTGGAAAAATGTTAATAGTTCTTTGCATTGTAGTATCTTAACAGGGTATTTTTCTGGACAGAAATTAAAGCTTTTAGAAAGGACAGATTTTTCAGCTTTGGTAAGTGTGCATGGAAATATTTGAGGGTTGACTGGTTCCTTTAGTTTCATCGAGTATAAGGTTGGAATGTCGTAAGATATTGGTGTTGTTCCTCTGATGGTTGTTTTGTGGCTGGGAAAGTTGTTCCTATAGTAATTGGTTCCATT